GACTCCATCTCGAAAAATACAAAATAAAAATTAAAAAAATTAGATGGTGATGCGTGCCTGTAGTCCCAGCTACTTGGGAGGCTGAGGCAGGAGAATGGTTTGAACCCGGGAGGCGGAGGTTGCAGTGAGCCGAGATTGCGCCACTGCACTCCGGCCTGGGCTACAGAGCAAGACTCCGTTTTAAAAAACAAAGAAAAAACCAAAAAAACCCACAACAACTTTAAAACACCAGATCCCCATCTGAGCCCCTGTCACTCAAAGTGTCTCCTGTCACCTTCACACCTTCACCTTTCCGCTGGGACATAGTCCCCGGCTCATGGTCATACCATCACCCAGGGTGTCAGGTGGTGAACCTTGGGAGGCGTCCATTGGAGCCCCCATGGACCTCATTTTGCTGAGGGACCTCATTTTGCCAGCATCTCGGATCACTGAGCAACATCAGGGCTTGAGGTGCCAGGTGGTAATGAATGGCGTCTTCCTGGGGCTTGATCCACGTGTGATATGGGTGAACGTGGCTGGCTATGGCATCGCCAAGCTTGGTCACTCTTTCTGCTGAGCCTGGTTGGTGCTGATGCCAGTAGATTGTGATGTTAAGAACCCTGGCACTCTGGATGATGGTATGACCATGAGCCGGGGACTATCTCACAGCAGAAAGGTGCAGCTGTGAAGGTGACAGGAGACAGGCATGTCCCAGGTAGCGAAGCAACCAGAAAAGAGTAGGGTGTCACATGGACAGGTGACAATGAGACAGGGTTATAGGGACAAGTGACTGTAGAATAGGAACGTGGTGATGATGATGATATACATATATATTTAGAGACAGGTTCACGATCTGTCATTCAGAATGGAGTCCAGAGGCCACACCATAGCTCACTGCAACCTCAAACTCCTGGGTTCAAGCCCTCATCCCGCCTCAGGCTCCCAAGTAGCTGGGACTACAGGTACATGCCACCATGCCCAGCTAATTTTTCTCTTTTTCTGTAGAGATGGGGTCTTGCTATGTTGCCCACGCTTGCCTTGAACTCCTGGCCTCAAAGGATCCTCCGCCTTGGCCTCCCAAAGTGTTGACATTACAGGCGTGAGCCACAGTGCCTGGCTGATGATGCAATTTTGATGGAAAGACCATGTGTGTGCTTTGTACAGTCCTCGGTGGGTGGACTGTGATACGGCGTAGGATTTAAAGCCTAAACGTCCCTTCTTCTTTTTTGAGATGGAGTCTCGCTCTGTCGCCCAGGCATGATCTTGGCTCATTGCAGCCTCTGCCTCCCAGGTTCAAGCGATTCTCCTGCTTCAGCCTCCCAAGTAGCTGGGACTACAGGTGCATGCCACTACGCCTGGCTATTTTTAAAATTTTTTTTTTTTTTTTTTTGAGACGGAGTCTCGCTCTGTCGCCCAGGCTGGAGTGCAGTGGCGCGATCTCGGCTCACTGCAAGCTCCGCCTCCTGGGTTCCCGCCATTCTCCTGGCTCAGCCTCCCAAGTAGCTGGGACTACAGGCGCCCACCACCTCGCCCAGCTAGTTTTTTTTTTTTTTGTATTTTTAGTAGAGACGGGGTTTCACCGTGGTCTCGATCTCCTGACCTTGTGATCCGCCCGCCTCGGCCTCCCAAAGTGCTAGGATTACAGGCGTGAGCCACCGCGCCCGGCTTTTTAAAATATTTTTAGTAAAGACAGGATTTCACATGTTAGCCACTTGAGACCTCGTGATCCGCCCAACTTGGCCTCCCAAAGTGTTGGGATTACAGGTGTGAGCCACCGTGCCCAGCCTAAATGTCCCTTCTTAACAGCGTGATATAATGAGGGCACAGTGGGGGGTGACACTGTGATACCACATCAATAACTGTCAATAACAGACCAGGGTGGCATCATGAGAAGTCTGAAACCACAGCACGCGGTGTGGACAGTAGCTTGGGTAGGGGGCTGTGAACAACCAACCACTGCCCACGCTCTGCTGTCATTGAGAACTTCCGGGTGCAGGGACTTCCAACAGCTCCACATGTTGGTCTTACCACACCCTCTGGCTTCCTTCTCCCCTGGCTTCTAGAGAGCAGGTAGGGAGACTTCTAGGGCTGAGTCACTGCCTTCCCACAATTCTTCCAGGAAAACCCTGCTCCAGACTTAGCCATGGCAACAGTGGCCGTGCAATGTCCCTGGGATGGGACAATCTCTCCCCACCTTTTGCACCTATACTGGGCTGCTTCTAGGGCACCCGGTGCTTGTCCCCGTGCCCATGTAAGAGACATTTGTTGCAGAACAATTCTGAGTGGACCTTGGCAGAGGAGCCTGGAAAGAGGTGTCCAAAGTGTCCGGGGAAACTGGTTTGTCCACAATAGCCCCTGGGCACACCCCTTAACAGGAACCCCACCCCTCTGTCTCTGCTGGGCCACCTCGATCCTGGGGTTCCCTCCCCAGTCCACCCTCCCCATGCCCCAGCACCCCACCTGACCCTTCTCACAGGGTCCCAGGACCCCTCCCTTGGCCAGAATGACTGGATCTTGTCCCTGAAGTTGGCGTATGTCCCATGCTCCCCGAGCCTAGCCCTGGGGCCTTCAATGCTCCCCGGACACAGTCTAAGACCTGGAAGTGGAGCCTTGGGAGAACCTCCCCTTTCTGTGAGTCCCCCCACTGTGTCTCCCCTCAGAGGCGGTGGGGAGCCTGCTGAGGGCTCCTGGGTGCTTCTACCCTCTTCTTATGTTTCCTGCTTTCCTCTTGCTCCCTCCTTCACCTCTCCCCTAAAGTTCCAACCTCACTCCATCCAGGCATGTTTGTTCTAAGTTCTCTCCATCTCCAGGCCTTTGCCTGTTCTGTTTCCTACAGCAAACTCCTATGCAACTGTCAAAACCTAGTTCAAAAATCCCCTCCCAGGCCGGACACGGCAGCTCACACCTGTAATCCCAGCACTTTGGGAGACTGAGGCGGGCAGATCACGAGGTCAGGAGTTCGAGACCAGCCTGGCCAACATGGTGAATCCCCAACTCTACTAAACCTACAAAAAATTAGCCAGGCCTGGTGGCACAAGCCTGTAATCCCAGCTACTTGGAAGGCTGAAGCAGGAGAATTGCTTAAACCTGGGAGGTAGAGGTTGCGGTGAGCCAAGATTGCACCATTGCACTCCAGCCTGGGTGACAGGGTGAGACTTTGTCTCAAAAAACAAAACAAAACAGGCCGGGCACAGTGGCTCACACCTGTAATCCCAGCACTTTGGGAGGCCAAGGCGGGCGGATTAAGAGGTCAGGACATCAAGACCATCCTGGCTAACATGGTGAAACCCAGTCTCTACTAAAAATACAGAAACAAAATTAGCCGGGCGTGGTGGCGGGCGCCTGTAGTCCCAGCTACTCGGGAGGCTGAGGCGGGAGAATGGCCTGAATCCGGGAGGCGGAGCTTGCAGTGAGCTGAGATCCGGCCACTGCACTCCAGCCTGGGCGACAGAGCGAGACTCCGTCTCAAAACAAAACAAAACAAAAACAAAATCCTTTCCCTCCCTGCAAATTGTTGAGTTTACCCTATTGAACTCCCACAGCTGACTGTGCTGAACACACTCCCACCAGAGCACTTCTGGAATGGAGACAGGGTCTCCAGTTTTTGGAGACAGAGTCTTGCTCTGTTGCCCAGGCTGGAGTACAGTGGCATGATCATAGCTCACCGCAGCCCCAACCTCCTAGGCTGAAGCAATTCTCTTGCCTCAGCCTCCTGAGTAGCTGGGACTACAGATGCATGCCACCAGTCCTGGCTAATTCTTTTTTATTTATTTTATTTTTTTATTTTTATTTATTTTTTATTTTTATTTTTTGAGACAGAGTCTGGCGCTGTCACTCAGGCTGCAGTGCAGTGGCCGGATCTCAGCTCACTGCAAGCTCCGCCTCCCGCGTTCATGCCATTCTCCTGCCTCAGCCTCCCGAGTAGCTGGGACTACAGGCGCCGGCCACCTCGCCCGGCTATTTTTTTGTATTTTTTAGTAGGGACGGGGTTTCACTGTGTTAGCCAGGATGGTCTCGATCTCCTGACCTTGTGATCCGCCCGTCTCGGCCTCCCAAAGTGCTGGGATTACAGGCTTGAGCCACCGCGCCCGGCCACCTCTTTTTTATTTTTTAATTATTTTTTTTTTAGAGATGGGATCTCACTATGTTACCTGGTTTCAAGTCCATTGGGCTTACCTATTTATTACATTCCAGAAGTACTGTGGTGGGGGGATAGTCAGCACAATCAGCTTTGGGAATTCAATAGAATAAACTCACAATTTGCGGATAGGAAAGGAATTTTTGAACGGGTCTTTGACAGATGCATAGGAGTTTGCTGGATGGAGTAACAGCTTCAGGCCCAACGCACAGCTTCTGAGAGATCCCCATGTTAAAAGTCTATTCTCAAAGGTAGGAAGGTGGTGGAAAAGCGTAGAAATTTTTGTTTGGAGTACTGACGACAGATAGGGAGCCGAAATTCTTGTCTGGTCCCTTTGGTAGGTGGAGAAACAGGTTCAAAGAGATTTGAAAGTTTACACCGTTTGTATTGTTAACTTCTTCATTTTGAGAACCAGATGAAAAACCTGGGCCCTTCTCCCTGGGATTTACATCTTTACCCAATGTTTTGTCAACATATTTAGGGGCCTCTGATCTCAGCCTAGTTAACAATCCAGGCTCCAAGAGCCAGGTGAGTTTCCAACGATTCTCCTTGCTCAAGGGAGGGGGCGGCAGCTTGGGAGGCCGTGGGAGGGCCGCCCAGGTGAGTCCTGGGACCTGTCTGCCCAGGTTGTCGTCCAGGCCCCCCACAAATCAGAGCCCCACCTCCATCTCAATCTCGATCCGAAAACGCGGCCCCCTCAGCCCCAACTAGGCGCCCCCAGCCCAGAGCCCCCCGTCCGCCCTCCCACCCCTCCAGCCCATCGGAGTTCTTCTCTCGGAGCCCCAGGCCCTTCCCCGAGCCGCAGCCTCTCTCCCCGCCCCGGATCGCAGCCCCCCGTCCCCGCCCCGGGAGCTACGAGGTGCAAACGCGCCCTCCTCCAACTCCTCCCGCCCCCAACTCCCCTCGAGTGGCAGCTCTGGGCTGAGAACGCGGCGGGGTCGGCCTCTCGGCTTCGCGTTCCCGCCCCGGGTCCCCGGCGCCGCAGGAGCCCGCCCTGCAGCGCTGAGTCCCGCGCGTCCATCTGCCGTGCCCGCCTCCACGCGCGCCACCTCGCAGGTAGGTGAAGGCGCGGGGCCCCCGGCAGGGCGAGATCGTTGGCCCGGAAGGGTGGGGAAGGCGGGGGCGGGGGGGCCGGCAGGGGGAGGCGGAGAGGATTCCTTTGTTCGCAGCCGGGCAGCCCCGGGCCCAGCCCCCTCCCCTCTCCGCCTTCTAGTGGCGCCCGCCGCAGTGGGGAGTGGGGGCGCAGGGACCCAGCGGGAGGGGCTCGGCCAGGGCGCGGGGCCCCTGACCCCACAGGTGAGGGCGGAGCCAAGTGTGGTCGCGGCCGGGGGCTCTGCCAGGTAGAGCTCACGCCCCGCGGGCTCCCGGGGCGCCCTCTCCCCGTCGGCAGAGCTTGGGATCCCTCGCTCCTTGGCCCTCAGCCTCCACACCCCGTGCTGGGCGCGCCTTCTCTGCTCATTCATTCCACAAACTCCAGGGTGTGGCTCGCAGAGGCAGCGGTGTGTAGGGGGGACCGAGGCAAATGAAGCCAGACTCCCCACCCCACCTAACTCCCCCACCCCACCCGAGGCAGGGGGCTGGGGCGGAGGGAGTGGGGGGAGGAGGGTTTGCAGGCCCCGAGGCTGCTTCGAGTCCACAGATTCTCAAAGTGCCGACTTACCCGGACAACAGAGAAGCAAAAAGAGGGCGCCCCTCCCCAGCCAGCCAACTCTCCAACGTTGACAGGGGTCTCTCCCTTCTCCGGGGCCTTTGCACAACCCGGTTGGCCCGGAGAGGGGCGTGGCCAAGGCCACACAGCAGGCCTCCTCGCGCATTCTCCACCTAGGCCCAGTTTCTTTCCTCGCTAGAACCTGAATGGAACAGGAAGGCCACTTGGTCTGGCTTCTTTCCCTCAAGTATTTTGCCTCCACCCTCCAAACGGTCATCTCCTGTCCCGGTCTTCTTCCTCCCGTCCTTCATGACCCAGGAAAGACCCAGCCACGGGGGGCAGGAGCGAGTTCCGTTCCTGATCTTCTCACCCTCCTCCTCCTCTTCCTGGGCTTAAGCTCAGGCTTAACCCCTCACACATGGTGTGATGGCCTTAGTTTGCTCATCTGTGAAATGGGCACAGCAGCGGCTCCTTCCCTGCTGGGCACAGGGGTACTCTCTGCATTGGGAAGTTCCAGCCTCTGCCTGGGCCCCCTGCCCGGAATGAGGGACAGTGGTGTGGTTGCCCGAGGCAGCCCTGAGGCCCATGGGGAACCCAGGGAGGCATCCAGCCCTGACAGTCAGAGGAGGCTTCCTGGAGGAGGTGTGGTGTTAGAGAAGGGTCTTGGGGCTGAGGGTGCACAGCTGAGGCAAGACGGGCGTGGGACATGGAGGGGAGGGGACACAGGGCCAGGTGGGGCCAGGTGTTGCAAGAGTGGGGGTATCTGTGTCACTGAGTGACAGTGGGGTGGTTGCCTCCCACGACTTACCACCTTCCTCACACCTTGGACGCTCTCCTGGCTCCACCTTCCCAGCCAGAACTTTAGGAATCTCCTCAACGCCCCCCACCTCCCATGATGTCAGCCTCCCATTCCTCTCCTCTCTCTCCCATCTGGACAGCCCCCAGCCTCCTGACACCCTGTTTCTGCTGGGGACCCTGCTTCCCTTCCCCACTCCACCTAACATGCATTTTGACTTTGCTCCTTCCGTTCAAAGCTTTTCAAGGGCTCTTCATTGTCCTTGACAAATGAGCAAAAGCTCCATGACACCGCTACGCCCACTCCTGCAGCGCCTGGTCCCACCTGGCCCCACCTGGCCCCACCTGGCCCTCTCTCCCCTCCCCTCCACGTCTTGCCTTGGCTGTGCACCCTCAGCCCCAAGACCCTTCTTTAACATCACACCTCCTCCAGGAAGCCTCCTCTGACTGTTCACTGCTTCCCGGTTGGGGCTGGATGCCTCCTTGGGCTCCCAGAGGCCCCAGGGCTGCCCCATTTGGCAACCACCCTGCCCTCCTCGTTGTGTTGGGTCTCCCATGGCCAGGGTGAGGGGCTCTCCTAGGGCTGACTCTGCTTCCTCTCCGCAGCCTCCAGGGGACACGCCATGACTCTGGAGGGTCTGTGTTTGGCAAGGGGCTCCCTGGCCCGGCTCCTGCTGGCCTGGTCGGCCCTGTTGTGCATGGCAGGTGGCCAAGGCCGCTGGGATGGGGCCTTGGAGGCTGCAGGTCCTGGACGTGTGCGGAGGCGGGGCAGCCCAGGCATCTTGCAGGGGTGCGTGGTACCTGGGTTGCTGGGAGACCCCTTCGGTGTGGATTGGGCTGTCCTGGGGGCAGCGGAATGCCCGGGGGATGTCTACCCGGGCAGGGGCTCACCAGACCCATCTCGCTGTCCCTGAAGGCCGAATGTGTGCGGCTCCCGGTTCCACGCTTACTGCTGTCCGGGCTGGAGGACATTCCCTGGCAGGAGCCAGTGTGTCGTACGTGAGTGCTGCTGCCTTCTGGAGGTGGGAGGCACAGGCCGGGGACACTCTTACCTGCCTGCAGGTCCAGCTCTGTTTACACGGGGACTTAGCCAGGGGCCTCTGGCTGAACCACAGGAATGGCCCTTGCATCTGTCCTCAGGGTTCCAGGCCAACCTGCCATGTTCATTTCCTTTGCCCTACAACCTCTTTGTGTCTGTCTGTCTCTCTCTCTGGTTTCTTTGTCTCTGCGTCTCTCTGTTCATCTCTGTTCATCTCTGCTCGTGTCTTTCTCTGTTGGTTTCTTTTCTTTATTATTTTTTTTTTAGAGATGAGGGTCTCTGTGTTGCTCAAGCTGGTCTTGAACTCTGGCCTCAAGCGATCCTCCCATCTCAGCCTCCCAAAGTACTAGGATTCCAGGTGTGAGCCACCGCACCTGGTCTCTCTCTGTTGGTTACTGTCTATCTATCTGATTCTCTCTGTCTCTCTCTCTCTCTCTGAGTCTCTTTCTCTCTGCTTCTCTCTGGCCTCACCCTCTCTTTCTGTGTCTGTCTCCGGAATCTGACTCCACTTCCCAGGAGACACCCAACCACAGTATCTAGAACCCCAGCACCTCCAGCTCTGTCCTCACAGCTCGGCAGCTCTGGCCCAAAGAGCGTTCTCTCCCAATAGCTGTGGCAGAATCACCAACCCACAGCCTGGGTCGTACCACCTGCCCAGCCCAGCCTGAGAGTGGGGGGACATCCCATGAAAAGAGGGGTGGTGTGCTATGAGCAGAGCCGGGGATGCAGATGACCAGCAGTGTCCACCGAGGTGTTCTGGGCAGCCCGGACACTGATGGAGCAGGCATGGCCCAGGCTCGGTCCTGGTCTTGACTGCCACCTGCTGCACCCATCCAGCCATCTGTAGGCGCGCCTGCGGTGAGGGCTTCTGCTCGCAGCCCAACCTGTGCACCTGTGCGGATGGGACGCTGGCTCCCAGCTGCGGGGTGAGCCGAGGTGAGCAGGAAGTGGCCTCTTGGGGGAGGGAGAAGGTCACAGGGTTCGGTTACCACGAGGAACCCGGGCTGCTTTTGTTGAAGGACAGGAGTGGGGCTGAGCATGCCTAGTCCTGCAGCCTTCCTGGGAGGGCATCTCGGGGCCTGTCTCCACCTTACTATGCATCCCACCTTCCTGTCCCCAGGGTCAGGGTGCAGTGTGAGCTGTATGAATGGGGGCACCTGCCGGGGGGCATCCTGTCTGTGTCAGAAGGGCTACACAGGCACCGTGTGTGGGCAGCGTGAGTATCCCCGTGGGACTCCCCTCCTCGCACACTTGGGACTGTGATCCCAGAGCATTGGTCTCTGCTGCCAGCTGCCCACTGCCCAGGGGGTCCTTCTTCCTGAACTGGAGATTGCAGGGGACATTTATTGTCACAGTCTTTTTTCTTCTTCTTCTTCTTCTTTTTTTTTTTTTGATACAGAGTCTCGCTCTGTCTCCCAGGCTGGAGTGCAATGGCATGATCTCGGCTCACTGCAAGCTCCACCTCCTGGGTTCATGCCATTCTCCTGCCTCAGTCTCCCAAGTAGCTGGGACTACAGGCGCCCGCCACCTCGTCCGGCTAGTTTTTTGTATTTTTGAGTAGAGACGGGGTTTCACCGTGTTAGCCAGGATGGTTTCGATCTCCTGACCTCGTGATCCGCCCGTTTCGGCCTCCCAAAGTGCTGGGATTACAGGCTTGAGCCACCGCACCCGGCCAGAAGATTCTTATCTGGGGGTTTCAAGGCTAAGACAAAGGTTGGGGCAGCCTTGGAGCACATGAAGGACAGAGAAACCATCTGCTCCACGGAAGGGAGTCAAGGAGGGCTTCCTGGAGGAGGGGACCCCTCAGCTGGATCTGGTAGGGTGGATTGGACCTCATGAGATGGGCAAACCGCCTCTGTATTGCACTCTAATTCTTCTTTATTTTTCTTTTCTTCTTTTTTTTTTGAGACAAAGTTTTGCTGTGTCACGCAGGCTGGAGTACAGTGGCACGATCTCAGCTCACTTGCAACCTCCGCCTCCCAGGTTCAAATGATTCTCTTGCCTCAGCCTCCCAAGTAGCTGGGATAGCAGGCATGCATCCCCACGCTCAGCTAATTTTCGTAATTTTAGTAGAGACGAGGTTTTGCCATGTTGGCCAGGCTGGCCTCGAACTCCTGGCCTCAAGTGATCTGCCTGTCTTGGCCTCCCAAAATACTGGGATTACAGGAATGAGCCACCACACCCAGTCACCCTAACTCTTAAAAATGATCCCATTTTTAAGAGGGCTAAAATGGATGGGGTCCCCTGCTGAGAGGTTGTTACCAAAATTAAGAGGGTGTACGTACCAGGAGTTTGAGACCAGCCTGGGCAACATAGTGAGACCCCCCTCTCTACAAAAAGTAAAAAATTAGCCTAGCATGGTAGTGCGTATCTGTAGTCTCAGGCTGAAGTGGGAGGATTGCATGAGCTCAGGAGTTCGAGGCTGCAGTGAGCCGTGGTGGTGCCACTGCATTCCAGCCTGGGTGACAGAACCAGACCCTCTCTCTCTTAAAAAAAAAAAAAAAAAAAAAAGAAAGAAAAGAAAAGAAAAAAAGAAAAAGAAAGAAAGAAAAGAGGCCAGGCACTGTGGCTCACACCTGCAATTCCAGCATTTTGGGAGGCCGAGGTGGCAGATCACTCGAGGCCAGGAGTTTGAGACCAGCCATGGCCAACATGGCAAAAGCCATCTCTACTAAAAATAAAAATAAAAAATTTAGCAGGGTGTGGTAGCGCGTGCCTGTAGTCCCAGCTACTTGGAAGGCTGAGGCGTGATAATTTTTTGAACCTGGGAGGCAGTGAGCCAAGATCGCACCACTGCACTCCAGCCTGGAAGACAGAGCGAGACCTGTCTCAAAAAAAAAAGAAAGAAAAAAAAAAAATAAAAGAAAGAAAAAGAAAAGAAAAGAAAAGAAAAAAGGAGAATGGACACAGTGATGACTTTCTTGTGAGCAGTGAGGTGTGGCAGCGATGGGGAGAGAAGAGAGAAGGAGTCAAGATGAACCCCAGGCCTGGTCTGAAAATTGGGGGGAAGCTAGTGGTGCACCCCGGCAGGGAGGAGGAAGACTGAGCTCTGTGTTGGCTGGGGGACTTGCAAGCTGTCCAGGAAGCAGCTGGACACTTAGGCCTGGGGCTGAGACAGCGGCGGGAGCTGCTCCGTCCATGGGGACTGAAGCCCAGGGTTCAGCTGAGGATCCCCGCTAGAGAAAGTCGCACTAGCAGAGACAGCTACCTGGACATTTAAGCACAGACAGGAAAAACAGAGCCCACAGTGGGCTGAGAAAGAGAAAGAGAACAGGAGTGGGTGGTGTCAGGGACGTCCAGGCTTGTGAGATTTTCAGAGGCAGGAGGCATCTGAGTGCCTGGCGTGGCGTTTCAACCCAGGAAGGCGAGGATAGGCAGGACCTCGGTACTAGAAGCTGGAGGGGCTGGGGAAGTGACCTGGGTTTGAGGGTGGGCTTCTGGAAACTGCAGAATTGGAACATGGGCTGTTGGAGGCGGGCCAAGCTCTGGGTGGCAGGAGAGTGAGGGGGAGGGGGAAGTGGGGGAGCCACCAGGAATTGCATTTTGGCATCAGGACAGCCTGGGGGTGGGGGGGTCTCTGTGAAGCCCCTCCTCCTTATGGGGCCTGAGTTGGGGGTGACTTTGGCTTCTTCTCTTGGGAGGGGCTGCCCTTGTTTGAGAGCTAACTCCTTTATTGGAAACATCTGGAGAAGAGAGCCAAGAAGTCGCATCTGGGCTCATGTACTGGGGTTGGGGGAACCAATGCGGTCACCTTGGGCTGGGCCTGATGGGGACTGAGGATGTGATGTTGGGGGTCCAGAGAATTTAGGCAGATAACAGATTCTTCCCCAAATTTGGGTGATATGGCAGGGCCAGGCATATGCTCAAGTACTAGACATGCCTTTTAGCTGGGCGTCCGTGGGTTCCTGCCCAGGCCTGAAGGGAGGACAGGCCTGGGAAAGAAGTCCCATCAGTTCAGACAGGGTGTTCACACAGGCCCTGAGCTTTACGGGCTTGGAGATCCTAGTCTCTCTCTTGGAAGTTGGTCAGGAAATGCTTTGAAAAAAAGGGTTTTGAAGGGTGAATAGGAGTTCGTTAGGTAGGGAAAAGGGAGGAAAGATATTCTATTTAGGAAGAGAGCAGCATAAGTAAAGCCTGGTCTGTGGGTGCAGGGGGCGCTGAGAAGGTGTTAGAGACGCAGAGATCTCTAGACAGGGGCAGTCCTCAGCCAGGTACCCATATCTGTCTGCCTTGCAGATTACCGGACGGGACCCTGCTTTGGCCAAGTGGGCCCCGAGGGGTGCCAGCATCAGCTGACAGGCCTCGAGTGCACCAAGGCACTTTGCTGTGCCACTGTGGGCCGTGCCTGGGGCCTTCCATGTGAACTTTGCCCTGCACAGCCACACCCCTGCCGCCGAGGCTTCATCCCCAATATCCACACGGGGGCCTGCCAAGGTGAATAGTGGGGTCAGGGCTGAGTGGGAGGCCTTGGCCAGCTTGGTTCTTCCTTCTGATGAGCCTCTCACTCCCTTGCTGGGCTTTGTCCTTGCAGATGTGGATGAGTGCCAGGCCGTGCCAGGCCTGTGCCAGGGAGGCAGCTGTGTCAACACGGTGGGCTCCTTCCATTGCCACTGTCCAGTTGGACACCGGCTCGGTGACAGCAGTGTTGCATGTGAAGGTGGGTGACTGGAGAGGGACAACCTGGGAGCTCCTCTGTGACTCGTGTCTGGGGGGGCTCAGGCTCCCCTGCAGGAAGGCAGAGGGGTCAGGCTGGTGAGGTGCCCAGTTCTGACCTTGTCCCTGTCTATGTAGATGTGAATGAGCGTCTTCGCGTGCCCGGCCTCTGCTCCGGGGTGACTGCACCAACGCTGTCGGGAGCTACGTGTGTCCCTGTCCCTGAGGTTTTCCATGCAGCTTGGATGGCACCCACTGCCTGAGTGAACCGAGGGGCTGGAGGGGGAGAGAGCGGGTAGGAGCGAGACCACCTTGTTCAGCTCTATCTCTCTCTCTCTTTTTTTTTTGAGACAGAGTCTGGCTCTGTTACCCAGGCTGGAGTGCAGTGGCACAATCTCAGCTCACTGCAACCTCTGCCTCCCGGGTTCAAGAGATCCTCCTGCCTCAGCCTCCCAAGTAGCTGGGATTACAGGTGCCCGCCACCACGCCTGGCTAATTTTTGTATTTTTAGTAGAGATGGGGTTTCTCCATGTTGGCCAGGCTGGTCTTGAACTCCTGACCTCAGGTGATCCACCTCCCTTGGCCTCCCATAGTGCTGGGACTACAGGCGTGAGCCACACCGCACCCGGCCCCACCATTTTTGAGATGGGGAAACAGGCCCAGAAAGGGGAGGTTTGCTTGAGTCCAGTCCACAAGTCCAGAACACACTCAATTCCCCAGACCCCCTGCCCGGGTGGCGGTCCCTTGGGCTGTGGCTCCCCCTGCAGGCCCACCCTTCAGCAACCCCCCGACACTTGGCCTGGCCAAGCGGGAACTCACCCCCGACCCTGCGCGCTTAGGCCTCTCACTCCTTCTTTTGCTGTCTTGATGAGCTGAATGTCAGGCCCTAGAAGTTGCCTGTGGCCAATAGGGCTGGCCAGGAACATGAACGCTGGTGGTGGAGGATGGACAGCGTCCTGGTTTGGGGAGACAGGAGTGGGTGCTTGGAGGTTTTCCAGCGTCACCCTGGTCACCTCAGGTTAGGCCACTACCAGGCAGGGCTGAGAATATTGTGTTTGGAGTTCAGCCAGTATGCTGTGGCCAACTCCAGACTTTCTAGGTCTCCACCACAGGGGGCCACCACAGCTGGCATTGGGGTAGCAGTGGACACATCCCCTGGACTGCGGGGTCCTCTGTCCACTGCTAAAGAGGAGACCCTGGATTTGACAAACCAGCCTCTGAACATAGGCTTTGGAATCAGTCTGGGACTCCCACCCAGGGCAGCTCACAGACCCTGTGGTCTTGGGCAAGTGACTTAATCGCTCTGTGCCTCAGTTTCCCCATCTGTAAAATGGTAGATGATAGCAGTACCTAGCTCAGTGAAGACTGGGGAAGATATCTTTTGGGGAGTAATTTGCAGAGGGCTGGTGCCTTACAGGATACTTAATACACATTCATGCACAGCAGGTGAGGTTGAGGCTGTGACCACTTAGCTCACGATGTGTACTTACAGCAATGGCAGGATCATTTTTGATAACATTCTCTTATTTTCTTGTTTTTAGACACAGTCTTGCTCTGTCCCCCAGGCTGGAGTGCAATGGCACGGTCTCAGCTCACTGCAAACCTCCACCTCCTGGGTTCAAACGATTGCCTCAGCCTCCCCAGTAGCTGGAATTACAGGCACCCACCACCATGCCCGGCTAACTTTTGCGTTTTTAGTAGAGACGGGGTTTCACCGTGTTGGCCAGGCTGGTCTCAAACTCCTGACCTCAGATGATCCACCCGCCTCGGCCTCCCAAAGTGCTGGGATTACAGGCATGAGCCACCGTGCCTGAGCATTTTTGTTAAAATTCTTATATTCTGTCTCTCTTGCTTAAGGGGCTGTTGCCTGTTGGGCCCCCTGAGATTGGGAAATCGAGTTTCCCGTCCTTCTCCCGCTTTTGCAGCTGTGTGACTTTGGAGGAGTCTGTTGACCTTTCCTCGTCTGGGCAGGCCCAGCCCCCTTTGAGGGGCTATGATGAGACTGAGAACGAAAAACCCTGACTCCCACACACGTACCTGGGGGGTCCCCAGGTGCACAGGGCGGGGACCAGAGAGGTGGAAACATTTGCGTGTTTTCCCAGCTTGGGGCAGGTCAGGGGCGACTCTCAGTGGCCCTCCCAGCGCCTGGGAGGAGTTTTTTAAACTGTGGGCTACCGGCCAAGCTCTGTGCATTTTTAAGCCTAAAAATATGCTCTTTAAGCCAGAGCCTGAGAAATCCGATCGCTGCATAAAGTCATTGACCTTGAGGGCGCAGTGGGAAGTGGAAGAGTGTTGGTGGTTCTCATACCTGGGGAGCCTGTCTGCCTCAGTCTCCCTGGGGGCTGTGGCCATCAATCCATCCCCTCGACTCCTTGGGACCCCTTTCTGAAATTCACATTAGGCTGCTGTGTAATGCCTGAAGCCAGCAAGCAAAGACACACAGCTGCAGATCTCGGTGTCCCTGACTGGTATCCCACTGGGGCAGTCCTTCCCCGCCAATGGGTCTTCCTCAGTGTGGTTGGATGCCTGCAGCGACGGGGAGCTCACTACCTCTGTGTGATAACTTGGAAATCTTGGTGATAAGAGATGGCACTGAATGGGCGTTGGCCACATGTCAAACTTTTCTTTTTTATTTTTATTTATTTATTTATTTTTGAGACTGAATCTTGCTCTGTCGCCCAGTCTGGAGTGCAGTGGCACGATCTCGGCTCACTACAGCCTCTGCCTCCCGGGTTGAAGTGATTCTCCTGCCTCAGCCTCCCAAGTACAGGTGCGTGCCACCACACCTGGCTAATTTTTGTATTTTTAGTAGACACGGGGTTTCGTCATGTCGGCCAGCCTGTTCTTGAACTCCTGACCTCGTGATCCACCCGCCTCAGCCTCCCAAAGTGCTGAGATTACAGGCGTGAGCCACTGTGCCCGGCCCTTTATATTTTTTGAAACAGAGTCTTGCTCTGTTGCCCAGGCCAGAGTGCAGTGGCAGGATCTCAGCTCACTGCAACCTCTGTCTCCTGGGTTCAATCAATTCATGATTCTCCTACCTCAGCCTCCCAAGTACCTGGGATTACAAGTGCCTGCCACCATGCTTGGCTAATTTTTGTATTTTTAGTAGACACGAGGTTTCGTCATGTTGGTTAGGCTGGTCTTGCACTCCTGACCTCAAGTGATCCGCCCACCCCGGCCTCCCAAAGTTCTGGGATTCCAGGCATGAGCTACTGCATCTGGATTATGTCAGACTTTTCACCCAGGTAATACCTTCCCCAGGTGAGGTGGATGCTCCAAGTGTCCCCATTTTATGGAGGGGAAACTGAGGCACAGAGTAGCAAACAGACCCGTCCTACAGGCAGTGCAGCTACAGCTGGAATTTGGATCCAGGTCTGGTCACTGATGTCCCGTGCTCATGGGCTCACCCTCTGATCTTTTACAGACCACCGGGCCGGCACCTGCTTCTCAGTGCTTTTCGGGGGCCGCTGTGCCGGAGACCTCACCGGCCACCACACTCGCAGGCAGTGCTGCTGCGACAAGGGCAGGTGCTGGGCGGCTGGCCCGACCCCTGAGCTGTGTCCTCCTCGGGGTTCCAGTGAGTAAGAACTGCAGCCTGCAGGGCTGCGGGGGAGGAGGGGACGGGGGAGGACCAAGGGCCTGGCCTCAACCCAGCTTCCTTGCAGATGAGTTCCAGCAACTGTGCGCCCAAGGGCTGCCGCTGCTACCCGGCCACCCTGGCCTCTTCCCTGGCCTCCTGGGTTTTGGATCCAATGGCATGGGCCCCCGTCTTGGGCCGGCACGATTCAACCCTCATGGCTCCGATGGGCGTGGGGTCCCCAGCCTGGGCCCTGGCAACTCTAATATTGGTGAGACTTGGGGCTTGGGAGGAACGTTCCAAGACTTTTTTTTTTTTTTTTTGAGACGGAGTCTCGCTCTGTCGCCCAGGCTGGAGTGCAGTGGCGCGATCTCAGCTCACTGCAAGCTCCGCCTCCCGGGTTCACGCCATTCTCCTGCCTCAGCCTCCCGAGTAGCTGGGACTACAGGCGCCCGCCAACTCGCCCGGCTAGTTTTTTGTATTTTTTAGTAGAGACGGGGTTTCACTGTGTTAGCCAGGATGGTCTCGATCTCCTGACCTCGTGATCCGCCCGTCTCGGCCTCCCAAAGTGCTGGGATTACAGGCGTGAGCCACTGCGCCCGGCCACGTTCCAAGACTTGAAGGATGGTCCTGGATCTGGGGAGAGAGCTCTGAACAGGGGAGGGTGTCCAGGCCTCAGAGAGAGGGTTAGGGCTCTGGAGGGGGAACTCCTGGCCTGGTTAGTAGGGATGACAGTGCTGGTAGTGAATGGGGATGGAGGTAACTGGAAAATCTGGTCCTCAGAGTTAGAGTTTGGGCTGGACACAGCGGCTCATGCCTGTAATCCCAGTACTTTGGGAGGCCAAGGTAGAAGGATTGCTTGAGGCCAGGAGTTTGAGACCAGTCTGGGCAACATAGCAAGACCCTGTCACTACAGCAAATTTAAAATTAGCTAGGTGTGGTGATGTGCACCAGTAGTCCCTGCCACTTAGGAGGATGAGGCAGGAGGATCGCTGGAGCCCAGGAATTGGAGGCTACAGTGAGCTGTGATTGCACCACTGCACTCCAACCTGGGTGACAGAGTGAGACCCTTTCTCTAAAAAAAATAAATAAGTCAGGGTTTGGGCTTTAGGTGGGAAGTTTTGGTCTGGTGTGGGGGTCTGAGATGAAGGATTTAGGCCTGGGTTGGGGTCTTGCCCCATAGTGAGGATTTGGGCCCAGAGTGGGAGTCCGGGCATCTCTGGGCCCAGGTTAGAGGGATCTAGGCTCCAGATTGAAGGAATCTAAGGCCCCAGGTTGGAGGGGTCTAGGCCCCAGGTTGGAGGGATCTAGGCTCCAGGTTGGAGGGATCTAGGCTCCAGATTGGAGAGATCTAGGCTCCAGGTTGGAGGGATCTAGGTCCCAGGTTGGAGGGATCTAGACCCCAGGGTGGAGGGATCTAGGCTCCAGGTTGGAGGGATCTAGACCCCAGGTTGGAGGGATCTAGACCTCAGGTTGGAGGGATCTAGGCACCAGGTTGGAGGGATCTAGGTCCCAGGCTGGAGTTCTGAATCTAAGGCAGGACTGTCCGGGTGAGAGAGGGCAGAATCTGAGCTGGGGCAGGGTGCCAACCTTAGAGGGGGTATCTGGGCCCAGAGAGGTGAAGCCCAGGCTCCAGACTGGGGCAGGGGCCAGCCACTGCTCAGATGCCTCTGCCGGCCCCACCTGTAGGCACTGCTACCCTGAACCAGACCATTGACATCTGCCGACACTTCACCAACCTGTGTCTGAATGGTCGCTGCCTGCCCACGCCTTCCAGCTACCGCTGCGAGTGTAACGTGGGCTACACCCAGGACGTGCGTGGCGAGTGCATTGGTGAGCCACGGCCAGGTGGGGAGGGTGGGTTCTCACTGCCCTGCTGGTGCGGGGGCTCAGGGTCCTCTCCTCTCAGATGTAGATGAATGCACCAGTAGCCCCTGCCACCACGGTGACTGCGTCAACATCCCTGGCACCTACCACTGCCGGTGCTACCCGGGCTTCCAGGCCACGCCCACCAAGCAGGCATGCGTGGGTACGGCTGTCCATCCGAGAGTGGGGGTGATGGTGGGGGTTCTGGCCCAGGCTTGGAGGGTGGGGGGCGCCTCTTGACTGCCCACCTGCCTTCCCCACAGATGTGGACGAGTGCATTGTCAGTGGCGGCCTTTGTCACCTGGGCCGCTGTGTCAACACAGAGGGCAGCTTCCAGTGTGTCTGCAATGCAGGCTTCGAGCTGAGTCCCGACGGCAAGAACTGTGTGGGTGAGTTGGGGGTGGGCGGGTGGGCAGGGGCTTCTGGGCCCCACTAGCTGCCTTTTACAGCCACTTCAAATCTTCACTCTGCCACCAAACCCACCCCCCTCCCTACGATGTCTCTTCTGCTCACCTCTGAACCCAGCAGCCCACCTTAGACCCTTCTTATCCCCCGACCACCCTGACTCTCCCCTTCGTTTCCTCCCTCCTGAATTTATTCCATGAATCACAAAAAAGGGCCTTTTGGGGCCAGCCTTGGTGGCTCATGCCTGTAAGATCCGCAGGCACTTTGCGAACGGCTGAGCAGCGGGGGGCGCGCCAATCTGCGTTGAGCGGGGAAAGAGATTGAGCTGCAGAGCCTGTGCTTCGGTGGCGCCCTGCGCGACTCCAGCGGCTGGCTGATAGAGCGAGACTCCATCTCCTAAAGAAAAAAAAAAAAAAGAAAAGTACCGGGTGTAGTGGATCACACCTGGTAATCCCAGCACTTGGGAGGCCGGGTGGCGTGCGATTACCTGAAGTCAAGTGCGGGAGACCGAGGCCCTGACCCGACGATAGTGAAAACCCGTCTCTACTAAAAATACAAAAAATTAGCCGGGCATAGTCGTGGGCACCTGTAATCCCAGCTACTTGGGAGGCTGAGGCAGCAGAATCACCTGAACGTGGGAGGCAGGGGTTGCAGTGAGCTGAGATCGCACCACTGCACTCCAGCCTGGGCAACAAGAGTGAAACTCTGTCAAAAAAAAAAAAAAGAAAAAGAAAAAGAAAAAGGGTCTTTTAGGCAAGACCACACTGGCAACCGCCTGACCCTGGCCTGAAGCAGGGTCCCTCCGCATCCTAGGATGGCTTGGAAGAGCCTGGCCAGTGAGGGGGCCCGGGGGGTGGGGGTGGGGGGGTGGTGGGGGTTGAGATCAGGACCTTGGAGAGCGGCCCCCCCATCAGCTTTCTCTGGAATATGGTGGGTTACGGCTTGTGGGAGCCAATGGGGACTTGGCTGCCACAAGCCATAACCCAAGGGAACCCCTTGACTCTGTCACCTTATCTCAGGAGGTCTGCCTTCAAGTCTTCCCTCGGGTAGAAGGATCTTGTGCGTTCTGCATTCCTTCATTTAAAAAGACATTTTTGGCATTTATTGATATGTAATTCATATACCATAAAATTAGCCATTTGAAGTGTACTAGTCAACAGTTTTTAGTATATGCACAGAGGTGGACAAGCATCTCTACAACCCAACTGGAAAATACCTTTATTGCCTCAAAAACAAACCTGGTATTCATTAAGAGTCACTCTATAATTCTCTGTCTTTACCTGCAGCCCTGGGTGCTAGGTGAATCGGTTTTCTGACTCAATGAAGTTGCCAGTTCCGGACAAAAGGGAATCATGGTTTTCTGTGACTGGCTTCTTTTGCTGAATGTGATGTTTTCAAGATTCATCCGTATTGCAGCGTGTATTGGTGCTTCTTTTTTTCTTTCCCCTTTTTTTTTTTTGAGACAGAGTCTTGCCCTGTTGCCCAGGCTGGAGTGCAGTGGCACGATCTTGGCTCACTGCAAGCTCTGCCTCCTGGGCTCATGCCATTCTCCTGCGTCAGCCTCCTGAGTAGCTGGGACTACAGGCGCCCGCCACCACGCCCGGCTAATTTTTTTGTATTTTTAGTAAAGTAGAGATGGTGTTTCACCGTATTAGCCAAGATGGTCTCGATCTCCTGACCTCATGATCTGCCCACCTCGGCCTCCCAAAGTGCTAGAATTACAGACGTGAGCCACCGGGCCCGGCCTTTTTTTTTTTTTGAGATGGCGTCTCGCTGTGTCACCAGGCTGGAGTGCAGTGGTGCAATCTCAGCTCACTGCAACCTCTGCCTCCCGGGTTCAAGTGATTGCGATTCCCCTGCCTCAGCCTCCTGAGTGACTGGGACTACAGGCCCCCACCACTACACCCGGCTAATTTTTTCATTTTAATAGAGACAGGATTTCACCACGTTGGCCAGGATGGTCTTGATCTGCTGACCTCGTGATCTGCTTGCCTCGGCCTCCCAAGGTGCTGGGATTACAGGCGTGAACCATCATGCCAGGCCTCAATTTTTTTTTTTTTTAATTAAATAAATTTTGAGCCAGGCACAGTGGCTCATGCTTCTAATCCCAACACTTTGGGAGGCTGAGGTGGGAGGATCACTCGAGGTCAGGTGTTTGAGACCAGCCTGGCCAACATGGTGAAACCCTGTCACTACTAATAATACAAAAATTAGCTGAGTGTGATGGCGTGATGGGTTCAAGCGATTCTCCTGCCTCAGCCTCCTGAGTAGGTGGGATTACAGCTGTGTGCACTGTGCCCAGCTAACATTTATATTTTTAGTAGAGACAGGGTTTCACAATGTTGACCAGGCTGGTCTCGAATGCCTGACCTCCGGTGATCCGACCGCCTCAGCCTCCCAAAGTGCTGGATTACAGGTGTGAGCCGCTGCGCCTGGCCATCTATTTATTTTTTTATGGTTGAGTCTCACTATGTTGCCTAGGCTGGACTTTAACTCACATCCTAACAGACAGACTAATATGCAAGCAAACACAGCCACAGACAACCACAGCTTTTTGCCTCCCACACCCCAGGGAGGGGTTCTGGGGAGCTCAAGCTATCCCCCTGCCTCAGCCACTTGAGTAGCTGGGACTACAGGCATGAGCCAGCATTCCTGGCTTCATTCTTTTTCATGGCTGAATAATGTTCCGTTACATGAATAGACCACAGTGTGTTGATCCGTTCATCAGTAGGACACTGGTTTGTTTTCACTTTTTGCTGTTAGGAATAATACTTCTGTGAATGCTCATGTGTAAATTTCTGTGGTGGCTTCATGCTTTTTTTTTTTTTTAATGTATGTTCAGTTGTTTATTATTTAAAGCTGACATTTTGGAAAACAAGTCATTTCTGCGCCTGCCACCTTCTGTTAAATTAGACTATGTTCTTACTAACCTTATTTCCCTTTCCTTTTTGTAAAATTGAAGTAAGATTCACACAACCTAAATTTAATCATTTAAAAGTGAACAAGAGGTTGGGCGCGGTGGCTCAAGCCTGTAATCCCAGCCCTTTGGGAGGCTGAGGTGGGCGTATCATGAGGTGAGGAGTTCAAGACCAGCATGGCCAACATGGTGAAACCCCGTCTCTACTAAAAATACAAAAACAATTAGCCGGGCATGGTGGTGCATGCCTGTAATCCCAGCTACTCGGGAGGCTAAAGCAGAAGAATTGCTTGAACCCTCGAGGCAGAGGTTACAGTGAGCCGAGATCACACCACTGTGCTCCAGCCTGCGTGATAGAGCGAGACTGTCTCAAAAATAATAATAATAATGATAATAATAAGTCTTTTAAAAATATTTAAACATTTTAAAATGAACAATTCACTGAAATTTAATAAATTCCCAATGTTATGCAACCCCCACCACCTTTATTCAGCTTTGAGCAAATATTTATGCAGCACCTACTGTATGCAGCCTGAGCAAGACAGGGGTCATGCCCCAGGGAACTCACATCCCAGGGGACAGACTAATATATAAGCACACACAGTCACAGACAACCACAGCTTGTTTGCCTCCCACATCCCAGGGAGGGATCCTGGGGGGCTCAGCCCTGGAGTTTGGAGGAGGGAGAGAGAGGGTCCCAGTGTGGGCCGGGCACCCGGCCCCCCGCCTGGACTCAGCCTCTCCTGCTGTCCCCAGACCACAACGAGTGTGCCACCAGCACCATGTGCGTCAACGGCGTGTGTCTCAACGAGGATGGCAGCTTCTCCTGCCTCTGCAAACCTGGCTTCCTGCTGGCGCCTGGCGGCCGCTACTGCATAGGTAAGCCTGGAACAAGACTGGCCAGCGGAGGGGAGAAGGGAGATGGGGAAGTAGAGGGAGGGGGAGGAAGAGGAGAGGGACCGGACAGGGACAGGATGAGCATGAGAGAAGGAGAAGAGAAGGAGTAGGGAGAGAAAGAGGAGGAGGGAAAAGGGAAGAAGCGAAGAACAAGAAAAGGAAGAAAGGAAGAGGCAGGAGTCTCACTCTGTCGCCAGGGCTGGAGGCGCATGGCGCAATCTTGCTTTCACTCAAGCTCCGCCTCCCGGGTTCACGTCAT